ATTTAATGGAAAACTAACATAGGTGAAGGTAGGATAAAATGTTGCCCTTGCCCCCTATACAGCAGAGGCTGTAGACAATAAAAAATAAAAAAGGAAGTGTCACACCATTAGAACACATGAGTTTCTATCAAAGAGCTGTTTGGACTGTGGCTTAGGTTAAAGATTAAGAGAAATAATTGAGTACCAGAAGCCAGTTAGCTCAAGCTCTTTTCATCTTAACGTTGGGAGATGTGTTCACACGTTTCAGTGTGCATCATACCCAAAACAAAGCCCTAAAAATGACGTAAGGTTAGATTAAGATGATTTTGTTAAATAGCTTTGAGGTGAAAAGCCCAAGAAGACAATCTAAAGTTTAGAAAGACACATATTTGTCTGAGGGACTCATTAAGGTCAGGAAACAAGAACAAAGCAGTCCAATTACTATTGGTTGACATACCTTTCTTGATAGAATTGGTTAATGATCAAAGGTGATAATTCTTTTCTTGTACCCATTTCTGCCCTCAGATTCCTGATATAAAAAACTGTTAATGTGTGGGTAAACACTCTGAGGATTTAAAATACAGCTGACTGGTTCTCTTTCATATATAAACATTTAGGTTTGTGATATTTCTAAGATCTCTTTTAAGATTATCTTTTGAGATAAATAATACAATTATTGATCCTTTCTTTGTAGCCACAAAATGCAGTCTGCCAGTAAAAGAAAAGAACTGTCCAAAAAAACAAAAAGTTTGCTTGCTTACACTCTGTTAATCTATTACAAGTTGCTTGTTGCTTCCATATGAATGCACATGGATTCTTAGGAATAATTCGTTTTTCACTTGTAACATGTAAAATATTTAATCATGTAAGGGACTGAATCGCATATGGAAAACATGCTTTTTTATTTGTATTCATTGTAATCATTTACTTAAAAAATAGAATATAACCATATTGTAATTTTTATATTGCTTGAAAGATTCTACTGGGATATGTAAGCTATAAGGGAAAAATTTAAAAAATGAGAAGGGGAGTGGGAGCTGGGAAGAAGAGAGGGGGAGAAGAAGAAGAGAGAATAGGTCATGGGAGAACAGGAAGGTTGAGTGGGGAGTAGAATAGGGGGAAGAGGGAATCATAGGTTAGAAGACAGATCAGGCACCAGTGAGATCTCTAGTGATCTAAAGGGATGACACCAGCTGGCAAGCTAAGCAATAGTGGAGAGACCACCTTGAATGCCCATTCCTGATAATGAACTTGATGTCTATAACCATTCTGGAGCCTTCATCCAGTGACTGATGGAAGCAGAGGCAAACACCCACAGTTAAACACTGAACTGAACCCAAGGAACCCAGTGATAGAGAGGATTGATGAAAAAATTGGCAAAGAATGGGCTGGCAAAACAAGCAGAGACAGCTGATCTGAACAGGGGAGAGCTCTTGGACCCCAGACCAACAGTGGGGAGGCCAGCATGGGACTGATACAGACCCCCTGAATGTGAGAGTCAGTGAGGAGGCCTGGGCAACCTATGGGGTCCTGTGCAGTGGATCAGTGTTTATCCCTGGCATGCAAACAGATTTCGTGTGTCTATAACACAAAGAAGGATGCTCTCTCAGCCTGGACTCTTAGGGGAGTGCCTGGACCCTGCCCTGAGTGAAATGACAGACTCTAGATATCCCCATTGTGGAAGGAAGTGGCGATATGGTGGGAGCCTGGGGGGGCTAGTGAGGGTGTGGGAGGAGGGGAAGGAGAGGGAACTGGGATTGACATGTGAAACAAGCTATTTAAAATTAAAATAATAATTTTAAAAAAGTCGAGGCTTGGTACCATGAAGAGAGCCATAAGAAGCTATTGGTGAAAGTGCAGCCCAGCTGCAGCAAAAGACTGAATCCTCTTGAGATGTCAGTACCATGGGATAACCACCAAGAACAGCAGGAACAGTGCAGCCATCCTGAGCTTAGGAGACAAGCTGTGTGCTGCAGAGGGCGGAGCTGGAGAAGGGACCCAAGCCCTTTGGAGGAGCCCATAAAATTGTGAGTCACCTCTAGACATTGGATAATTTGTTATTCACACTGTTGGAGTTTGGTTTTTCTTCAGTCTGATGTGACTGTGTCCTGGTTCTTCCCTCTTTATTTAACTTTAAAAAAATGAGAGAAGGAAAACACCAGGAAAGATGTATAAGGAAGATATGAAGAGACATAGAAGGGACTCATCTGGATAGAGGTAAGAAAAGAAATAAAGAGACGGAACAGAGAAAGACTCTAAGTGCGTGTTTTCACTCTTTCTTTCTTTCGTTCTTTCCTTCTTTTGTTTTGTATTTGAGACAGGCTTTCTCTGTGTAGCCTTGGCTGTCCTGGAACTCTGTAGACCGGGCTGGCCTCAAACTCACAGAGACTCACCTGTCACTGCCTCCTCAATGCTGGGGTTAAAGGCATGAGCCACCAGTACCCGGCTTTATGGACCACTTTTTAATGTATATGATCCCTGCTTTTCAAATTGTCTTCTTTTTTCCTTGTACATACATTATTTTCATGTATTAAGACCAAACTTGTCTCTAGCATGACTGTCCAAGGAACTTGACTATTGAAATCTGATGAAATGCTAGAGCTGAGGAGTCAGATGATTATTGTTTCTTCTTTGGGGAGGGAAGATTGTCAATGACTTTTATACATCTTTGGTTCACTCATTCACCATTGAAAAAAATACTTATCTGGATGCTACTATCTGCCAATGACTGTATCTGCCAATGGGATATGGTCTCTATTGCCATGGAGCTCAGTAAATGGGAGCCACAGATGTTTAAATAGTTACAGTCAGGGTGTGATAAATGAGGCCATAGATCATATTACACTTCCAGGTCACTGTTCATCACCAAAGGAAGTCAAGACAGGAACTCAAACAGAATGGGAACCTGGAGCGAGGAGCTGATACAGAGGCCATAGAGGGTGCTGTTTATTGGCTTGCTCAACATGGTTTGCTCAGTCTGCTTTCTTATAGGACCCAGGACCACTAGCCCAGGGATGGCACCACTTACAGTGGGCTGGGCCCTCCGCCATCAATCACTAATTAAGAAAATGCTCTACAGCTAGATCTTACGGAAGCCTTTTCTCAGTTAAGTTCCCTCATTTCAGATAACTCCAGTGTGTGTGAAGTCAACATAGCCAGTGCAAGGAGTAAGGTAGATAATATAATCTCAGATACATTTATTAAGATAGTTTACAAGACAATCTTGTAAAGGGTTGATTCTAGATAGATATTTTATCCTTCTCCAATTTCCTAATTATAGCCAGAGTAATTTTGTAAAAGGAAAGATCTGATAAGACATTTAGCACCTGGTGAAAGACTGCTTTAGAACTGTCCCCTTGATTCCTTGCAAGTCTCATCATAAATTCTTTTCCTGTATTATTGTTGCTGTTGAAATGGGATCTTGCTTTGTAGCTCCAACTGTCTTGGAACTCACAATGCAAAACAGGCTGGCTTGAACTTCAGGTGATGCTCCTGACTTGGGTTTCTGGTCTGCAGTCTTGTCATACTTCAGGTGCTCAGTGCTGTTTCCTCTCTCTCTCTCTCTCTCTCTCTCTCTCTCTCTCTCTCTCTCTCTCTCTCTCTCTCTCTCTCTCTCTCTCTCTCTCTCCTCTCTCTTAAGATACTCCTAACAAAAGGCGACTTTCTGGTACGCTAACTCAGCTAGCTTCCCATGTATGTTTGCAAAATATTCTGAACTGCTTCAAGTTAAAAGTATTCAATGTATGATTGTCCATGTCTTATTTCCTTAGATAAAAAGCTGAAGGCAGTAACATAATTATACCTCATGCAATGCAGAGAATGCCAAGTAGTAGCTGTATTCATATACTCCTTGAATGAAAGAATTGACTGTCTTTTTTGTTTGTTTTTCGTTTTTCTAGACAGAATTTCACTGGGTCACAGCCTTGGCTCTGTAGAGCTGCCTGGCCTCAAACTCAGAGATCCGTCTGCCTCTGCATTTCCCCGAGTGCTGGGATTAAAGGCATGCACCACCACTGTCCGGCCTGCCTTTTATTTTTTAAGTTGAAGTGTAAAGTAAGTCTGATGAAGTAAAACAGACGTTCATCTTAAATGACACGAAATTACAAAAATTCAGGCTGCTTTCTTAAGAAAATGTATTTCATGAAGAAAAATAAACAATCGTCAAATAAAGCAGACCCTATCTAAGAGGACACAGCATAGACCACAGAGCTCTGGGGAAGCAGGGCTTAATGACTTAGGAAACATCACTCATTCTTAGCCTGGCTCTTAGGGCTGGGAACAGAGGTAAGTTCTGTCTTCCACAATCCTTGCCCTTAGACCTACAGGCTAATTGGAATTCCACCGAGTGTGGTAAGCGCCGATAAAGAAGGCACACACCATTGTTAGGAAATATCTTAGTGGGGAAGTGAGTAGGAGGGATGGAAGGATGTGGGAAGGGCTGGGTGGTCAGGGAAGCCTTTCCGGTTTAAGCTGAGGTCTAGAAGATGAGCAAAGTCCTGGCCTGGAGGACAATCGCCACGTTCAAGAGCCCGGATTTGCGATCCCACAGAAAGACACTCAAGGGCACCTTGGCGGGACCTGGCTTTGTGATGACCCATGCCGGGCAGGTCACTCGCTTTGTGAACATTCCCCGGGCAAGGCGGCCACATCCTGCATCGTGTTCCCCTCCTCTAGAGTGGGGTCCGCGGCCAAGAGACCGGCTCCTTCCCACCACCGGCTTCGCCCATCGCCGCGGACGCCGGAACAGGCCCAGGCTCGCCCGCCGCCGACCCCGCCCACCGCGGGCACGTGACGCGGAGTGTGACGTAGGAGGAAGGAGACGCCATTAGAGGGAGGAGAGGCAGCGCTTCCCTAGCCTCGGGTGCCTGACGTGGTGGCCGGGACCCTTCATTCTGGGACTGTCTCCCGGGCCTCTTGGGTCTCGGCCGCGGAGGGCGCGGCGGGCACCGGGCTCGGCGGGGACGTGAAGAGCCGGGCCCCGGGCGGCGGTGCGGGGCTCGGCGCGGCGCCGGGCTCGGGCGGCGGGGCAGCGGCGGGATGGCTGCGGCCGGCGGCGGGGCGGCGGCGGGCCGAGCCTACTCCTTCAAGGTGGTGCTGCTCGGGGAAGGCTGCGTGGGGAAGACGTCGCTGGTGCTGCGCTACTGCGAGAACAAGTTCAACGACAAGCACATCACCACCCTGCAGGTGCAGACCCCGGGGACGCCGGGCTGGGCTCCTCTCCTCGGCCTCTGGCCTGTCACCCCGCCGCCTGCTCCCCATTGCCTTTCCCCATGGCCTCGGGGACGCGCGGGGTCCCGGCAGCCTGTAGATGTCAACACCGACCGCCGGGGGAAGGAGAGGGGAGGGGAAGGACCCGGAAAAGTCCCCAGGACCCAGCCTCCTGTGCAGGTCGGGGAGTCCCCGGCTGTGGGCTCGTTTTCCTCCCCTTCGAGGCGCTTCCGCCGGGGCACCAGGTGTTTGCACTCTCTGGTCTTTTGAGTGTCGGCCCTTTTTCTTTGCTTGAGACGTAGGAACTTAGCCGCGGATTCGAACTGGAGAACGAGGTGGTTTGTAACTTCAGAGCGTCCTGATGACTAAGTGTTTATATGCAAGTTCCATTTTGTCCTGTTTTCAAGTAAATGCAGTGGTTTTTAAAAAACAAAACAAAACACCCCTCTCTGGAAGGTTTTTTTTTTTTTAAATTGAAACGACCGCTTGCTGGCTACGCAGTTTCATTGCAGCCTTCTTGAGTCTGACCTGTGGGTCGCGTGTTCTGTGAGGCCCATCTACCCACGTTGAAGCATCATGTTATGCATTGGCCCATGTTGAAACTTCATGTTGCGTATTGGCCGGCGATTGGTCTTCAAACTAAAACCCGAAGCACTGCTGCTACACATTTTCTTCTACAGTTACATTGGAAGAGTGTGGCAGTGTAATTGCGAGTGAAACCAGGCGGTAGAAGGAGCTGCTGTCTCCCTGTTCTCTTTTAAAAAATCAGTTTTCTTTCACGTGTTAGAAGAAATTTATCCATTTAGCTGGTTTGATCAGATTGTCCAGAGGACTTGAGTTCGGTCGTTTGGATTCATATCCGACCTCCGTTTATTTCTATAGCCATACTTGGGGAAATTGCTTAACCTGCGCATCCCTAGGCTTCTCCTGCTACGACAGCCGTAATGATTATACAGGAACACACGGGGTTGTCAAGGTAGATACGACAAGCACTTAAGACCCGAGGTGGGGTAAACACTCTATTATTACTGCTCCCACTTGTACAATAGGTCTTAATTAGTAATGGCGAAGTGTGTTAGAACAGGGATGCTACTGTGATGCATAATCTAATGGGTGTGACACTTTGACGTTGGGTGCTATTATTAAACCACTGGGTGTAGAGTTTACAAAGATGCCCTGGTTCTGATCCCACGTTTTATTTTTACTCCTCTGTTTTCAATTCTATATAACGCATAGCATCTGAAGAAGGGAATGTCAGGTGACAATGCCCACGTTAATGATAGAGCGGAGCCCATGCTGAGGCCTGACTTTAGGTTTTGAGCAGCTGTGGTGCACCTGCCTCTGGAGAGCAATAAACACTTCATTTTGCACTTTTCTTTTCCTCAGTGTAAGAGAAAGGAGAAAATTATTACAGCTGAAATCCTAATTGAGTATTCCAAACTAAAAATTTGCTCTTTGGCGTCCGGAGTTGGGGCACACATCTTTAATCCCAGCACTCAGGAGGCAGAGCAAGCAAATCTCTGTGAGGGTCTGCAAAACAAGTTCCAGGCCAGTCAGAGTGAGTCCCTGTCTCAAACAGATAAACAAACACAAAAAGAAGCTGCGCTTAGATTGTATATTTCCAAGGCAGCCTCTCAGAGCTAAAGCGATAACAGATTTTTAGCTATGTGGGAGGAGCCACCGTGAGCCCCACGGAAAGGTGAAGTGGTGTCCCAGTGCCAATAGTGTCACAGCTTAGATTTTTATATAACTCATTGGAGACAGGTTCTGAATTACAGCACAAAATTTTGAAGGAAACATCCCTTCCTCATGGGTAGCAATTCAAATCAGCACTTTGTCCCAGAGAAGTTTGACCTGTGTCATCTATACGACACAATCTTGTGTTTTAATTTCCAAAAGGAGGAGACTGTACACCAGAAGATGGGAGAGGAATAATGTCACATACCACTTATCCTTTTAAAGTACTTTGTTTTCAAAACACTTTCATGTTTGAAGAGTGTGCCAGAAACATTTAAAAAATTGCCGGACTGACAGGAACCATAGTTAGTAGTGGTTCACTGTTCTGTCATTTATTTGTTGAACCATTCCAAATCCCAGTTTTAAACATCTTAGAGGTCACAGGCTGGGCATACAGCTGAGTACTAGAGTGTTTGCTTAACATGCCCAAGGCACTGGGTTCACTTGGAGGTAAAGTGAACCGATACCATTGAAAACAGAAAGCTTACTGTGCCTGGAGGTGTTCCATGTTCTTTTATGTCTCTCTGCAGAGCCAGAATCTGTTGTAGTCTTAGTTCTGCCCTCTGAATCTTGGTCTCATATGGCATTCCTTGAGGTAGTTAGAGATGGATGTCATGACCTCTTGAGTCTTGTCTTCTTGGGTAAACAGCTCCAGTCCTTTGACGGGATCTCTAGTGGCATTTACAATCCTCTTCACCACTTTGGTATCAGTGCACTCTTTTTTCCTTTTCCTTTCTTTCTGGCACATCCTTCCGTTGTTGCTTAAGATGACCTGAAGCTCATGATCCTTCTGCCTCGTTTTGAGAGGAGCTGGGATTACAGGCATCCATGTTGCTGCCTGATGATGTCCTTCTCTTCTTTGAGATGTTTTGAGCTGTGGAATTGGTTGTGATTCTAGGCTGGCTTGGGCTGAACAGAGGGGTTGGGACAGGTTGTCACTTCCTCTTCTTGTGTCAGCCCTTGGGCTATTCTGGCATTGATTAGCACTGGGTTGGCTGTCAGCTAAGTGTCTATCTTAATTGCCTCAAGAAAAGCGTATCCTTCAGATTCTGTTTGGTGACACTGTTATAAAGCCCTTCCCCCCAATGTGCTCGGCCTGTAAAAAGTTGGCTTTGATTTGCACCAGTCCTTAAAGGTTGTCAGTTTTTATTTCACTGTTTTTAAGGATGGGGATTTAGTTCATAGTTTGATGGTGCAGTCATGGCAGGGGACATGGTGACAGGAACTTAAGGAAGCAGCTGATCACATTGCATCTGTGGTCAAGTAGACAGATGCACTGCTAACATCTATCCTTCAAGTCTTGATTTTTTTACCCCCCCCCTCACCCCACAACATTGTTTGAGCTCTTTTAGGCCAGTGTTCTGTACTGCATTCTGCAAAAATTAAGATGTGGAACCTACAGTCTAGATTAGCTGCTTTTTAAGTTTTCTCACCTGGGGATTTGGTAGGAATATCTTTAGTAAGCCAGACAGTGGTGGTGCACATCTCTAATCACAGCACCCAGTAGGCAGAGGCAGGTGGGTCTCTGTGAGTTTGAAGCCAGCCTGGTCTACAGAGTGGGTTCCAGGACAGCTGGGGCTATACAGAGAAACCCTGCCTTGAAAACACAAAAACAAACAACAAGGATGCCTTCGATGTTCTCTTAAGTTCATAAGGACTTTGAAAAGGAAGAGTGAGGGGCACACACAAAGCTTGGTGATGTATGGTCGGAGAGGTTTACTTTAGCCATGCAGTGTCTTAGGATTGGATTTTTTCAGAATATCCTTCTCTTCCCCTTGAGTGGGAATCAGTTGCTAATGGAGTTTTCCTTAGTGGACTCCTACATATAGTAGACACAAGTCCTACAGTGAAGTTTCAATGTTCTTTCAGCACCGATGCTCTCCTATTTTTTTGCCCTTGGTACATTAGTCATGCCTATAAAGCTTGTCATGAGATCCTTCCTTGTCAGATGCAGATAACAAAATACACTGTATTTGAGAGACACCCAGTTCTATCAGGAAGTTGTATGGTATGGTAGAAAGAAATAATAGGACTTTGAAGTTGGACTGAGTTATAGAATGGTCGTGGCAATAAACTGTCCCACCTTTAAAATGGAATGCTCACTTCATAGGTCTCTTAACATGAATTACTTGACAGCCATCACAGTATCTTAAACATCATTTGTTTGGTTCTGGGCTCAGACCAGGGGTGTACTAGGCAAGTACTGAGTCATCACCCCATCCCTGGTACATGCTTGTTTAATAAATATTGAATGTTACATGCTTTGAATGAATACCATATTTCTTTTTTTTTTTTTTTTTTTTTTTGGTTTTTCGAGACAGGGTTTCTCTGTGGCTTTGGAGGCTGTCCTGGAACTCGCTTGGTAGTCCAGACTGGTCTCGAACTCACAGAGATCCGCCTGCCTCTGCCTCCCAAGTGCTGGGATTAAAGGCGTTGAATACCATATTTCTTAATCTATGTTGCTTTAATGATAACTTGGTCAGAAAAGGTAATGGGAATAATTTGGCCTGGATTATGTTGAGATCCCATATTGTCTCTGAGCAGTCACTATGTTTCTGTTTATAGGATCTGGGAAGGGGGCTTTAGTCAAGTATGAGTTCCCGAGTTTGGATCCTAACACCCTCATTGCATATGCCTATAATCCCAGTGCTGGGGAGCCAGACACAAGAGGATCTCTGGGGCTTGATGGACATCAAGTCTAGCTAAATTTGTAATCTCCAGGCTCAGAGAGATCCTGCCTCAAAGAGTAAGTAAGGTAAAGACATAGCTCAGGTGTTAAGAGCACTTCCTGGGCTTGCAGAGGGTGGGAGGGAATTCAGTACCCAGCACCCATGTCAGGAACTCCAAGGGATCTGACACCCTTTTCCGGCCTCCATGGGCACCGTCACAAACAGTCAGTCCAGTCTCTCTCTCTTCTCTCTCTCTCTCTCTCTCTCTCTCTCTCTCTCTCTCTCTCTCTCTCTCTCTCTCTCTCTCTCTCACCTATCTTTTCAATTTATTATTGTTGCTGAGAAACAGTCTACAGTCCAGGTTGGCCTCAATCTCCCAATGCAGTTGAGGATGGCCTTGAATTTCTGATCTCCACTTTTCCCAGTGCTGGGATTACAGCCCCGTAGCACATGTCTGGTTTATGTGGGGATGAAACCCAGGAACTTGTGTGTAAAAAACAGATTATACCAACTGAGCTATAACCCTAATCTCTGATTTTGTGTGTGTGTGTGAGAGAGAGAGAGAGAGAG